ACCAACATTCTGTCAAGCCCCTGCTCTGGGCCAGGCACCTGGCTGGCCTCTGGGAGACCAAGACATGAAGATATACCTCTCCCTGCTCTCTGGGAGCTCAGAGGTGTAGGTAGGAGGTGTCTCTAACAGAAGTGTGTTTACAGCATTATCATGAGGAGCAGGATGTGAGGAATCTGCCTGGAGGGGATCAGACAAGAACTTTTCACTGCCAAGCTTTAAGCAAAGAGCAACAATCACTGATCTGACAGGTTTTAGTATTCCTACATTGAGCATTGAGTAGGACTTTTTTTTTTTTTTTTTGGTAACAAATTCCCACACTTACTCCCAGGAATCTACTCTTCTTTAATGTCCCAGGACTTGAAAAGAGTGTTCTTCCAAACTGTTGATAAGCACTAGATTATATGACCCTCAGCTTTATGACCATTTTTAAATTACGCGTACAGTAATACAATGAGGACTGAACTTCTATAGAGGGCCCTCGATATTTTGTATTCTATTATCCTCAAGGGATTTCAAAAATTTAGGAGGGGTCATTGCTCAGTACCTGGCAGCAACTGTTGCGACTACAGCTGAGTCCCTGCCTACAAATATCTATCCAGGGCTACCAGGAGTTTCCCACAGGAAGTATAGTAGACTTTGGGGGATCTCACACACCCTGGGACAAGCTCTGACCAAACCTAGCTCCAGTCAGCATGACCAGCTCTGCCTCTCCCACTTCCTCAGTCTCTTGCGTGTATTCATCCCTTTAAAACCCTGCCCAGAATGGAGCCAGCACCTTTCATTTGTAGGCAGAATAACCAACTTATTAAAAGGACCAGGGAGAGTTCAGATCTCACTGTGAGCAGCTGCAATCCAACCCAGCACCTGGGGATTTGTGTGATTTAAAGCTCTAGACAGCTGTTTTGTCGTGGCTGTACCAACACGTGCTATAGAAGAAGCACAAACCCAAATTTCCCACTGGGTCAGGAAGTAGAGCCAGTGAAAGCAGCACCTGGGAGGCAGGGGCAGTGACAGAAAGACCTAGGAACCCACTAGTACAGCAAGTTCTTTCACGGCCCCTCATCCTGCCCTGATCATAGTGGAAGATCTTGCCTTCTTTTTTTTTCCCCCATACCCATTGTGAAGATAAGGCAAAGGGACATAGTTCAGAAATCCCAAATGTTACCTTTGAATCTAGGCACCTAAAATAATGCCCATCTCTACCTTTGATATCTTTTTTCATAATATCTCATTTAGTGTTAAAGGTGTTACACAACATATCAGTCCTGAGTTGTGAAACCCATAAGGGTGGCAGCATAAAGTGGACAAACTGGTCTAACTTCAGTGAGACATGGATTACACAACATGATGAACAGAACCAAACACAGATATTCCCTTGGATTATATAATTAACAACTGCAAAATATATTTAATGGGAAAATAAAAACAAATTCAAGCCTGTCCCATGGTCCTTCATTCTTGTTTGTGCAGTAAACGTAAGTTTTCAGTAGTCTTTCTTGCCCTACTGGATTGAGGATTGAACCCAGAGGTGCTTTATCACAGAAAAATCTTTGACTTTGAGAGGTCTCACCTAGTTGTGCAGACTGGCCTTGAACTTGGCAATCCTTTTGCCTCAGCTTCCCAGGTAACTGGGATTATAGGAGTGGGACATCACATCCAGTTTTGGTAGTGTTATATCTTTTCTTTTACACTCATGCTGAATTTCAAATTGATGGACTTGTACAGTTTTGAGTAGAATTGTTTCAGATTGCTTTCTTTACTAAATTACCTTTACATGAAAGGGTCATTAAGCCTTCAAAACATATCATTTCACTCTCAACAGGACTGCTTTTCATCATGTTCTGTGAGTTTGATTAATGTGACAAAATAGTCATGACAACTGTCATTGAGCAGAAATGACATATCCCTCCTTTCTATTTTTTAGATTGGAGGAAGGGCTAAAAGGTTAAAAGCTGGCCTAAGGTATTACTGACACTGCTTTCATGGTAACATTTTTTATTTATTATTATTATTAACAGTAGTAGTAATAGTATAGGGGATTGAACCCAAGGGGCTTTTTACGACTGAGCCACATCCCAAGCCCTTTTTATTTTTTAGCGTGAGACAGGGTCTTGCTGAGTTGCTTAGGACCTTGCTAAATTGCTGAGACTAGCCTCAAACTTGCAATCCTTCCTCAGCCTCTTAAATCACTGGGATTACAAGCATGCACCACTGCTCCTGGCTCATGGGAACTTTCAATGGATGTATGAACTGGGAGCAGGCAGGACTGGACTCTAATTATGGTTCTATAGCTAACCTTTTGTGCCTATTTTCTTTATAAAATTGGGCACAACTATTCTGCTGTGAGGACCAAAGCAAGTGAGGACCAGCCCCCAGTACAGTGGAAAGCTCTGAGGAGTTAAAAAGACTCGGCTTCAAGTTCTAGCTCTGTCACTCCCCATGAGACCTTAGATTTATTACCATACTCTGCTTTGCTGACTGAGTCATAACCCATGCTTTAACACCTGAGTATGCAATCTAAGAAATGTCACCAGAGGAGCTATTCCCTGCATTATATGCTTTACAGGTACTTGACACTCAGACATCTGTAGCATGAGTGGCCCTCTATTTCTAAACACCAGGCATCAAATTGGCTACTTCTAAAAAGTCCCTTTAAAGGGAGCTTATGGCCCACTAGAGTCCCGTGGCATAAAAACTTGGGGTAGGTTGAACAGGGATGAATGCAAGCACTGCTATAAGCACTAATTGGGGACAGGTAGAGGTAATCTAGCAGGCAGAGGCTAAAGCAGAAGCACCAACTGCTCACCTTTCATGGATGCATTTATAGTCTCACTTTGCTCCAGAAGAATTAGACCTAACCACAGCAAGAACCTGATATTTACTGCAATACTTACTGGGACCTGCCCAGTGACTCCAGCTATATTTTTAAATCCCAGAACTGCAGGCAGCCAGTCCCCTTTGAAGTCGTTTTTGAAGTGTGTTCAAAAATAAAACCTGCCTGAAGATGGGTGCCCCTGCCAGGGATGGTCCCTAGAAGACAGGCTCAGGATGGTGCTAACAGTTTTGGGTGGCCACTGAGCTCACCGTTGAGGCTGCCTTCCGCAGGAAGATAAGCCAAACCTCATAACCCCTTAGGCCCCCAGGCCTGTGGCCAGTAGCTTCAGCTAAGTAATCCTGGCCTCAGCATCACAGCATCCAAGCTCTTATTTTGTCTAGGAAAATGTAAGAATGTCTCGGACTTAGAGTCAGAAATGGGTGACTCATTGATACACAAGTAAGCAATGGGACTTGGACAGCGTGGCCCCTATAGCCATAACCAATGGAACTTAAAGATGCAAGGTTACAGAACAGGAGGAAAAGCCCAGACCGAACACTCCCCGCTGGGCGTCCTGATCTTGGTGTGGTTGGGCAACACATGTGGTCCAGCAACCGCAGCCGGGTCCCCAGAAAAGAGGAAACGTTTAGAGGCAGAAAAGAGTGGAGCAAAAAATGAGAGCGCAAACAATCTAGGCACAGGCTCGGAACCCGGTTTCCCCCTTTTCAAAATGAGGACTTAGGACTATAGTGCCTCCTAACTCCACTGTTACTGTGGAACTTTACAATATACCAGGCTGATGCCGCCGAAGGCTCGGAAACCGAAAAAAAGAGGGAAAAGCGAGGGAGGACAACAGGAGAAGAAAGGAAGAAGCGGGTAGAAGGCTGAAAGGGAAGACACCGGACGGCACGGACAGGCTTGGCGGGTTTTCAGTGTTACTCTTCCTTCTCCCCACACCTGAGTTCTCCGGGACGCGCCAAGGCCCGCGCCCAACGAGTTTTGGTATCAGTAGCCAAACTTTTCCCTCTGCACACCAGTTTCTGGAAGTTGTGGAATAGATGCTGGGCAGCCCAATAATGCATGCTTGGTATTAAAAAGTGAATGATCCCGACGAGCTCCGGAGGGCAGGTAAGCAGACCCAGGCTAGGCGGTGGGTAAAATAGCCCCAATCTGGGGATCACAGTGCCCAATTCTCAGCCCGCGAATCCTGGGCAGGCCAAATTTCATTCACCAATTTTAGTAAGGGTAAGGGGTGTATGCAAAAAAAGAAAAGAAAAAAAAAGTTGCAGAACTTTTCCCCCAACTCTTCGAGGAGGCAGGACTAAAGGGCGGTACCTGCACCCTGATTCGCAGGCGGCTGGTGTGGAGAGGCTCGGATTGGCGCGCGGGGCCCGGGGCCGGGAAGAGCGGGCGTGGGGGAGGGGAGCGGCCCTCCCAGCCCGCGGGATCGGCTCGCGCCGGGAGCGGGTTAATTTCAAATCCGGGGTTTGACTGCTCCAGGACGGTCACACTCTCTCTGCCCGCCCGCCGACCCGCCAGTCCTGGTCCAGACGTTTCCCTCCGGCACCCACCTCGGAGCGGCGGAAAGACTGACAGACCGCCAGACACGCGGACTCCCGGGCCTGGGCGGGGAAAGGGTGCGGAGGAGTCCCCGCTCAGCCCCTGCCGACTCCAATTGTGAGGTGGACTGACAGGTCAGCGGGACGCAAAGGGACACGGCGCCAGGCCTGCCAGCACCCGGAGTGGGCTTCGGCGGGCGGCGGCGGCGGCCGTTTCCCGCCTCCCGCTCCGCGGGGGGCCGTGGAGGGAGGAGCTGAGCTCCCGCGCAGAGGGGCGGGGGCGAGCGAGGGGGAGGGGCGGGGATGCCGTGGTTCCGGGCGCGGGTTTGCCCGCGCTCAAGCCCCGCGCAGCTAAGGGGCGGTGCCGGCCACGGTCGGGCTTTCCGCGCCAAATTTTTAAATCGAAGGCGGAAGGTCCGGCCCCGCCCCTGGGACCGTCAACCAATCGTAGGCCCGCAGCTGTCCCTCCGATTGGACGGGAATCGTTGCTCTGGAAACCAGGAGGATGCGGTCCGGGAACTGTCGGGCTGGCGGCGAGCAGGGCGGCCTCCAGGGGAGGTGCTGTTGGTCTGCGGGAGGGGGAAGTACTCTGCGCGCGGAGCGGGTGGCGGGCTGGATGACCGTACCTGGTAGTTTGACTGAGCAAACGCAGCCTTCCTCAATGGAGTTGAGCATCGTGGTGTGAACCAGCCACCCGAATAGCGAATACATACAACTCTGCATCTTTAAGGAAGTCTATTAAAAGGAAAAGAGTCTTAACCAGAAGGCGCTCTTTAAATGCCCAGCAGTACCCTTAGAGCTTAGGTACTGAATTTGGAAGTTCCATATCGCAGCGCCCCAAGACTACTGCTGAGCATGTGCACATATGTGCAAGGAGAGAAATTCGGGCATCTAGATGCAGATTCGTGTCCAGAAACTTGGGATCCTGTGTGCTCAGCCGGAACCTGGGCTCGTATGCTCAGTCCGGAGCCCTGATCTGTGGACAGGTGGGTGCTTGCTAGTGAACTTGGGGCCCGGTAGAATGCCTTCTCTAAAGATGGCAAAGAGCTGTCACTGGGAATTTTGTGGGTTACTTGAAAGCTCATGACAGAAGATGGTTTTTACGAAGAAATCTATTGATGTTGGAGTTGTCTACCCCGTGGTGGGGCTATCTCTTCTGGAGATCAAGAATAAAATATAAATCCAGTTTGTCATTTTTTGTAACTCTTTGTTTAGGCGGCCTCTTGTGTCCCTGATGGTGAAGGAATTTTTAGCAAATCTACTGGTGCATATTTTCTCTAATTTTTTTTTCTATTTCCTTTTTTTCTTTAAGGATATTAAAAATTTTAATAGAATTGATTGGACTACTGGAACCATCAGGATTTGGGGAGGAACTACAGATTTTTCATTTTAAAAGAAACACTAAATGTATGAAAAATTAGCCGAATGGAGAACGAAAAGGTACTTTGTAGCTTTGGCATTCATTGTTGCAGTTTTAAATTTGCATTATCATCATGACTGAACTGTTTAATTTTTCATTCTCCTCTGCCTTATTGACATCAACCCTTTTTGGTTAGTTAGCTTTTGCAAAAACCCAGAAGGAAGGAAATTTTTAAGTTTTGAAGAAGGGTAGGATTGCCCATGGTTAAAGTAATCTTTCTATTTTAATGGTTTTATGGAAGTTACAAAGAGAAAAGGTATTTTTAAGAATACAATAAAATTTGTTAGTACATTATGAAATTTCTGAGGATTCTTAAGCAATTGGAATTCAGAAAGGGTATTTGACATAATTTGATATTGGATTTGTTTATAATTTTTTTATTAATTGTCAGCTTCTTTAACTATTAGGGCTCCAAATTCTGTCCATGAGTAAATATTTTGGAAAATTACAGAGGAATTGTCAATAGGAGTATCCCACTGGTGTCTAGCTACTGATAGGTTAAAAAAGTGAACTGAAACTTTACTAAAAGCTTTAAATGTTAAATAAGAGAATTAATATTGTTCTTGGCAGTGTGAAGCAAAGAGCAGTAGTCTTTAGCAAAACTCCATCTGTAGGTCAGTACCTCATGAGTGCACATGCTGGCAAGGAGTCCCCGCCTAGATCCATCATACTAACCGCCATGTGGGAACACCATACATGGAGTGAGAAGGTCCAGATTCCTGTGCTGTGTAACCACCTTCAGCCTTGTGTCCTCTTCTGCTAAATAGGAATGCAAAATTCAGTGAAAATACATATGGAAAGCACTTAATAAATCGTTAGGCGTCTCAGACATGTAACAACAGTACCTTCCGTGTTCCCAAAGTTTATTGAGGAGTTAGTAGTTCTCCCTGTTCTTTCATATATTGCCATTTCAAGTATTTTCTTTAAAATAGATACAGCTAGGAGCAATGTATAAAGTACCTGGTGTCTGAAAGAGGAAGGAACACAGTCTTTATTATTCTTTATTTGTGAACAAGCCACATTTTCTTCATCTGTAAAGTGGAAGGGTGGATCTGAATTTTTCTGGTCAGAAAACCTGCATTTAGGCACTCTGGATTTCACAGATTCTCTGGATTTCTGACTATATGCTACCTCTCACCTCTGTCTGCTTGGCTCTCTTCCATGTCAGTTTTGTTTAATCATCATGCAGCACCCAGTGTAGCCATTATGCTAGCTGGAAAATGGTTTCTGCCTTGGAGGCTTACTTATAATACTGTTTGGGATTATTTAAAATTAACAGGTCTGTTAGGGAAAGATGAGTAGAGATATATGGGAACTCTCTAAACTACCTTTGCACCTCTTCTCTAAATCTAAAATTATTTCAAAATAGAGTTAAAAAGTTATAAGTCCTAATCAAGTTTCTTTTTTTTTTTTTTTTTTTTATTCTTGGAACATAAGATGAAAGCATTTGAATCCATGCTTTTTGCAAACTTGAAAGTGGAAAATTTATTAGAACAGACAGTAGGTGTGAAATGATCATTGTAATATACTCCTTAATCAACTTTGATTTCATTAGATTTTTTTCCTTAGCAGTATTCTATTCATTGTATGATTTTTAGTCAAAAGCCATCTGATAAGTCTTATTCTACAATGGATCTAACTATTTACTTCTTTTGAACCAGGAAAATCTCTTTTTTGAGCCACATAAAAGGGGACTGATGAAAACACCCCTCAAAGAATCCACAAAGGTGAATATAGCACTGGCCGAGATCCAGCCTGACTTTGGCCCTTTAACCACACCCACCAAGCCCAAGGAAGTGTCCCAGGGAGAGCCATGGACACCAACAGCCAATCTGAAAATGCTCATCAGTGCTGTGAGCCCTGAGATCCGGGACAGAGATCAGAGAAGGGGATTGTTTGACAACAGAAATGGATTACCTGAGGCCAAAGACTGTTTACATGTAGGTTTTCAGAGGGCCAGTAGAGACTGGGGATTAATGGGGGGTTTGGATCTTCTGCAGAAATATTGAAAATATGAAGATCACTATCCTCAGGCTGTTCATAATAAATCCCAGAGCATCAGAAAGGTTTGAACCCCATCAACCACTGGGAATTGTGAACCTTTGAGTGATTTTTATTTCAGGCTTCCCTTTCAGATTTGCCAAGTATTCTACTGGGTCCCCCTTCCCCACCCCACTTTTTCTTCCATCTCAAACTTCGCAGCTGTCCAAGCTAAGCATGTAGATAAGTGGTGTTAGTCATCAAACACAGATGCCCTTAATAAATCTGTCAAACATTATCTCAGAATGAGATGTTATTTACCTTTTCCTTTCATAGGAACACTTATCTGGAGATGAATATGAGAAATCCCAACCAAGTCGAAAAGAGAAAAGTTTAGGATTATTGTGTCATAAGTTCTTAGCACGATATCCTGACTATCCCAACCCTGCTGTAAATAATGACATCTGTCTTGATGAAGTAGCAGAAGAACTTAGTAAGTATGCAAAGAGTTTACTGAAATGGTTAATAATTAAAATAATTTCATGGATTTAACTCCTGCAAATGCATGGTTACATAGCCAGTGTTTGTAATGGACACAAATAAGGTAACAGGGAAATTGTAAGTCTCAAAGTCCTCTTAATTAAGGAATAAAGGTGAATAGTTTCTAATTTCAGTGAATCTTAGAAGCAGGTAGGTTGTCTCTGAATCTGTTTCAAAAGCAGATACAACTCTGAACTTTCACCTTGGCCCTGTCCTTGAAGGTTAGATGTCTTCACAGTTAACAGTAAAGGCCAGCTCCTGTGAGTGGGACCAGGGTTTGTGTAAGCGCTGCCACTCAGCCACCATTAGTCTGAGGACTGATGAGTTTTCAGAATATTTTGTGTTTCCAGGAGTTACTGTGTTATACACCCTTTTGCTCTACTCTTCATAGACCTAAAGCTAGTTAGAGATAAAAAAAAGGATCTGTGGCAAATATGGGATCTCTTTGGAGTTATGTAAATATCTTCATCTAAAACTTGAAGAGATATCCTATTCTATCACTCCATAAAGAAAATTTTGCTCTTCTAATACATGTTTATAAATATCACATTTCATGAATTAATGAATATGTCTAGCTGGGTAGTACGTGCTCTTTAATTCAGCAGATATCTGTTGATCAGCTAGTATGTGCCAGGCAACGTCGAAGGAGCTTGAGATACATCAGTGACCAAAAAAGGGCAAAATCCCTTCTATGAGAAACCTGCATTCTACGACAGGGTAAGAGGACCAGGAATTGTGGAGGTGTGCTTTGCAATTTTAAATTAAGTGGTCAGGTCAGGCTAATTGAGAAGGTGGCATCTGAGTCAGGACTTGAAAGATGCCAGACAGAGAGCTATGAGAACATCTGGGAGAAGGGATTCCAGGCAGAAGGAACAGCTCAGGACTGAGGCCCTCAGGCCCAGTGGACTTATCCTGCAGGTCCAAGGAACAAGAAGAGGCCACTAGGGGGCAGCCTTTTTGAAATAGATTTTTAAGCACTTTCCCTGAAAGACTAGATTTCATACAATATTTGAACTTAAATCAATACTAAAAGTAAAATTCCAGAACAAAGAGAATCCTAACATTGTAGAATACTTATAACTCAAGTTAACTAGAATTATGAGAGTCAAAGAATTACTCATATGATAGCTGGAATGTAGGCAAAATTAGACCCAAAAAGGAATATACTTTTCAGTTTTTTTTTGTTTTTTTAAAAACCACATCATGGTTTCTGCACTTTTCTGAAATCTCAATGCTTTGTACCTATCACATTATTGTTATAAACAGGCTGGGTGTGTGTGTGTGTGTGTGTGTGTGTGTGTGTTAAGGGTGGTAGAATAAATGGGTTAGAAGGTGTGGGATCTAGAATATTAGAAACTTAGTTTTGCCATTTCCTGGCTGTTCTTTGGAGGGAATTACTTAACTGGTTTGATCCTCATCATTAAAGTACAGATAATAAAACCTACCTCATAGGTTAGGACAAAAATTTCCTGGAGCTGTATGGCACATTTTAGGCCCTCAATAGTTGTTGCTTTCCTAATTTGTATTAACTTATTTGTACCCTTCGACAGCAGGGACATGTCTTTCTCACCTTTGCACTGTTTGTTAAGTGTATGTGCCTCCAATAAATAAAATCACATTATCCAGAACCTTCTGACAAAAATATATAGAATAAATGATTCTTAAATTCTAAACACATTATAAAAGTATAATCCTAATAACATACAATTGTGCATTCTTTGTAGATGTTGAGCGTCGACGAATTTACGATATCGTGAATGTACTAGAGAGTTTGCACATGGTGAGTCGCCTCGCCAAAAACAGGTACACGTGGCATGGGCGACATAATCTCAATAAAACTCTTGGGACTCTAAAGAGTGTCGGGGAAGAGAATAAGTACGCGGAGCAGATTATGATGATCAAAAAGAAAGAATATGAACAAGAGTTTGACTTTATCAAGAGTTACAGTATAGAGGATCATATCATCAAATCAAACACTGGCCAAAATGGACACCCGGACATGTGTTTTGTCGAGCTCCCTGGAGTGGAATTTCGGGCAGGTAAGAAATGGTACTGAAAAGCCCAGGCTGCATGGTACTTTTCGTGGGTCTCAAGAAGAGACCCCACAGAGAACATTGCTCTAAATTAGCTACTGCAGCTTTGAATGTTAAAATACTGCAGTTGTCAGCTGGAAGATCAGGTGGTGGTATTTTTAGCCTTGCTACTTTAGAAGTCACTTGTCCCTTCATGAATTTTAATTCTCTAATCCTCATCCTTCTCCAAAGCTTCTGTAAACAGCCGCAAAGACAAGTCCTTAAGAGTGATGAGCCAGAAATTTGTGATGCTGTTTCTGGTGTCAACGCCTCAGATAGTAAGCCTAGAAATTGCTGCCAAGATTTTAATTGGGGAGGACCATGTGGAAGATTTGGATAAAAGCAAGTTTAAAAGTAAGTGTCATGACTACCAGGGAATTTTGGACCTATCCATACAGTCTGAGTTACCAATTGATTTCCAAATGTATTGGGCATATACATGTCTAGTTATGCTTCAAAATTTTCACTTCTCCCCAGGATCTGTGATGGTACTGCTTTAGCTAAACTGCAGGATTCAAAGATATATATATTTAACTATTCTTATTTGTCTGACACTTTTGCTTCATCTGATACTATAACATTGTCCCTATTTTACATAAGTAGAATTTGTACTGTCTGGGGTCTAAATGAGCAATAATTTGTAAAGTAGGATCAGACCCTAGATCTCTGCTCTTTCCACTGATGCTGAAATACAAGGGTATATTTAGTTTAGAAAATTGTCCCCTGAAGTGACCTGCAGTACGGATGGCATTTGAAAGAAGGATCTTAGATTACCTGCTGTCAGTTTGAAAGGGACCATAGATTCGGTTCCTGACACAAAGCTCTGCCTTCATTGCAGAAACCTCCTTGTGGAGAAAGAGTAGAGAGAAGATATGGAAAGAAGAAGTGGTCAACAGATGTGTATCTTTCTCAGGGGCTGGCCTGGATGTGGGCCACTCTGTATGGGCCCTGGCTGTCTGGTGGGGAAAAATCGCCCCCAAGTAACCTCAGGCAGTGGTGATTGCATGAGAGCTCCCATACAGAAACAGCTTCCCATCCTGTAAAGTAGTCATACTCCTATGGAAGTATATTCAGGATTGATACTGTATAAAGACCAAATTACATAGAGAATAAAGGTGATAATGCTGGCAAATTGGCTTGGGAGGCCTACAGCTTGAGAAAGCATACTGATACTACTGGTGGGTTGCCTGCTTTTTCTGAGTCACCTGATGGTATTCAGCTCTCTATTTGACTGGTTAGTCACAGTTTTGGAAGCTATTCCAGGAACTGCAGATGTGTAATTTGCTGAATCTCCAGGAAATTCAGAACCTTCTGGCATGGCTATGAAGGAGAATTGATTTATAATTTTTTATACTATCAAGATGGAAGGGAACAGAGAATTGTATTGTAGCAAAACTCTTTAATAAAATACATGAGATTTGTAGAATTAACAAATCTGTCTTTACATATAAGGATGACCTAAAAATTTATAAATTTTGTTGGGTACAGAATTTTCCATGTTTATGATATTAAATAAATCTTATTATAAACCATCACATGTAGAAAAGCAAAACAATACACTGATGCTATATTTCCATTTGTTCATAAAATTCTTCTCTTTAGAAGTTTCTGAGGATTGCTGATTTTTTTCATAAGTAGGGTGATCTCATCAAGTTATTTTTCCTTTTGCAACTTGTACTATTGTCATTTCAAAATTCAGGGCCAGCAGTAACTGTCTTTTAAATATTCAAAACTACTCTTTTGTTTTAATTAAAGCAATATCACTAGAATAACTTAAAAGGAGTTAGATGTTTCTATCTGACATTGATGGTTGGGATAGCTCTTAAAATATACATGAATTTCTTAGGAAGCAAAATCCTTTGATCTTTCATTATTCTATTAAGTGGCATATATGCTTTTTTTTTTTTTTTTCCTAGCAAAAATTAGGAGGTTGTATGATATAGCTAACGTTCTGAGTAGCCTGGATCTTATCAAGAAAGTTCATGTTACAGAGGAAAGAGGTCGAAAACCAGCTTTTAAATGGACAGGCCCAGAAATCAGTCCAAATACCAGTGGTATGTACTTTTCTTTCATTCTTTGCTTCTTTTTTGAATTAATGCACATCTGGATAGATTCTCCCCCTTCCTACCCACACCCCACATGAAAAAGGTCATAAATAAATAGTTAAACAAAACAAAGATGAGTGCTAGTATAGAAAGTTGGCTACTGGTTTCATCAGCAACCTGAAGTCTATAACCACCCTCCCACCCTGTGTACAGGAAGTAGAATTTGTGTGTGAAAGGATTTGATAAATTTAAGGCACCACAGAACATACAGTACTACTGCTGTGTATGTATGTTTGTTCAGTGACCACAACAAGACTTGTACATCAAGAATACGAAAGTAGGGGCTGGGGTTATGGCTCAGCAGTAGAGCACTTGCCTAACATGTGCAAGGCACTGGGTTCCATCCTCAGCACCACATAAAAATAAATAAAGGTATTGTGTCCAACTACAACTAAAAAAAAAAGTTAAAAAAAAAGAATATGAAATTAATGTATTCTGATTTCAATGTAGAAATAGTTCTCCTTTCAACTCTGTGAGGCTGACCTCACATTTTGGATTCTACCAAAGATCCTCATCCAAAACTGCTGGACCTTGAGACCTTTGGAGTTCTAGCAGGGAAGTACAGCTACTCATATGCCCTTGACTAAAGAACCGTTCTCTATTAGGGAAGGTTGCCCTCTTTGACCAAGCTTCAGAAGGGATGTATATGGAGCAGTGAGGGAGGAAGGGTCACCTACCTAGCCACCAGATCAGCTTAATCAAACCTGGTGATGAATGGGGTGACAAATGTCACAGCCAAATCACCCTCACATCCCAGAACCACTGGAAAATAGCAGGAACATGGGCCATGAGAGGAGAGGGAGACCTAGGTTGTAGTCCCAGTTCTGCCACTCAATAGCTGTGCGACTTCAGGCAAGTTACTTCTCTAAGACTCACTTTCCTCCCTGTGAAATGACTTTGCCTTTGCAGGCTTCTTATAATTTTGGCTGTGATCTCAAGGAGAGGTCTTTTGGTGCAAGAATTTGGAATAAAGGCTCTGGGGCCACACTGACCAGGAGAGTCAATGCCAGCTGAGAGACCTGGAGTCGTGGGTTAAAATCTGTGTGTCTGTGCTCCGATCTCTGACAGGGATGCATTTCCCTAGAAATACCTGCCTCCTGGACCTCATGTGAGGATCACTGTATTTCATGAACTCTTAACACACCACTCATTATAAGACACACAATTTTTTCATGCACTAAAAACATAAAAATCAATAATGATTATATTCTAGCACACCACTTGTTGTAAGGTACAGTCTCAGTATCTACAGGTTCCACATCCAGGGATTCAACCAATTATGGGTCAAAAATATTCAAAAATAATTTTTTTGTCTGTACTGAACATGTGTAGATGGTTTCTTTATCATTATCTCCCAAACAATATAGGAAATTCATACCAAATTACTGCACCAAATATAGTATAGTTATATAGTACAACAAATATTTATATAGCATTTATATTGTATTGGATAAGTAATCTATAGATGATTAAAAATATCCAGAAGGATGTGCATAGATTATATGCAAATACTATGGCATTTTATGTAAAGGACTTGAGCATCCATAAATTTTGGTGTCTGAGAGGGATTCAGGAAACAATGCCCTGGGACATTGAGGGAGGGCTGTAAGGTATAAATTCATTGATACATTATGGAATAGTAGCACATTATCTGTATTCTATAACTGTTGCCACCTTTATTTCATATCACAAGAAAGCCAAACCACCTGTACTTTAATACACTGAACTTTTCCATTTCAGGCTCCAGTCCAGTCATTCCTTTTGCCACCTCTGATTCGGAGGTAAGGCGGTCTGCAAAAGAGAACTGTGCCAAAAACCTCTTTTCCACACGCGGGAAACCAAACTTTACTCGACA